GGCGATGGAGCAATATTGACTGAATTTGGGGGACCTGCAGTTCATCTGTGGAAAGATACTTCCCTGCATTAGAGCAGGCTTCTCTGAGATGACTTCTCCTTTCTTCACCTCAAAGGTAGCTCTAGGGACCATGGGATTGGTGGATGCGGAAGCCCCTCCCTGCGCCTTGTCTTCACTGTTAAGGGTCATGTGGCCTTGGACATTGAAGACTGGTCTCCAGTTCTAATCTTGTGTGGTGTCTTCTTAGGAACACCCTGCTCAGGAACCTGTCTTCTCTCCCGAGACCCAGTTTCAGCTTCTAGCTGGGACAGCCAGCATGAAGCTCAGGAGACTCAGAACCCAGCTTTACTTCTACAGAGCTGAGGGACTTTCCACATCTGGGTCTTTCTTCCTGCCAGGGCCTATGATATCACCCAAGGGACAGGGCTCATGGGCAGTGGGCGGACTCCAGGTTCAAGTGGCTTGTGATTAAAGCTCTTGGAGGAGGTAGCAAGAGCTTTCTGAAACTGGGGGAATGGTAGAAGGGCTGTGGGCCACAAATGCCCACCCCTGCCCATCCTGCCAAGCCTCCTGGTCAAAGTTTGTACCTCATGTTTCCTGCAGACACCTACAGGAGTTCTGTGACAAGGGGAGAGTTCAGCAACATTCAAGTGGAGTCATCTTAGGTGAGGTGTTCAAACCAGGGCCTGCTAGAGCTCACCAGCTGTACAGGCACCGCGTGGAAGGTCCATCTCCCAGCACCGTGTCCCTGTTGACTTCCCTGGATCCTGAGACCCAGCAGCCTCTGCTTCTGGGCTCAGCCCTATCAGTAGGAGTTCACAAGGACGACCCAGACTTGATGAGATTCCTACTGGGCACTGTCCCACCACAGAGTTCCAGTCTTGGTAACTCCTATTTACCATCTCTCATCAGGGCCATCTCTGGTCCTGACCATGCTCAGAGTTTGATCTCGTTGTTCTCCTGGTCATGTGTAATTGTTAATGCCTCTTTTTTCTCCACCTGGGCACATGACAAACTCCAGCAAGGATGTTATTCATACCACGCACCAGACACTTTGTTCTGGGGAAACCAAAGCTGTTGGCGCGGAAAGGCTGAGTGCCACTGTTTCATCAAATCCAACGCGAAAAGCGC